TATTAACCGTGAAACTTGATCGAGCACTGATGACAGGGACGTTGTCTCAGCTGCTAGAGTGCTTGTGACCACCCCAATGGGATGGCTAATGTTCTTGCTAATATCCATGTGTGTCCCCAAGATGATGGCCCCGGCGTGTGACTCTGGCTTATTACGAGACGAGAAGGAAGCGTCAGTTTTTTTGAAAAGGAAACAAAATTTGTCAACTGGTATTGGTTGTACAGTAATGCTCACTGTTTTGTGTCGTTTAGCTTCGTGAAGGATTTAGTTTCCCTCACATAGAGTATCCACAGTGGCTTGATTGATGGTGGATTGTAGAAGACTTAGTTTGGAAGACAAGTCGGGTCGGGTGTTGATTGCTGCGTACTGGAGTGAACCTATGAGGCCTCTTAGCGCCAATCGCTCACTATATCATTCGAGATCGAACCGACTCATGAACAAGAGGTGCTATTCACCATTTTCCCCGAAGTCACAAAAGACTTAAGGAAATTTTAGAGAGTGTGCATGCGTAACTGTTTGAGCAGGTTACGTCAGCTTCAGATCACCAGGATCCTTCGAGCATGTCGAGTTCCGTTCACCCGAGGCCTTTGGCCCAGGACAGGGTCCTGAGGGTGGGCGGGCGGTTGATCCGTGCCATAGGCCACTGCGGCGCTGGAAGCGCCAATAGGAGACAGGGATCTCGTCGTGGGCCCAGGTTGGTTGAAGAAAGAGCTGCTGCCGCTGGAGCGCTTCGTGGGACGGGGCGCGGTGGGAGCACCGTTACCAGTGCGGATTCTTCGGGATTCACACTTTATATATATATATATACACATGTATATATGTATGTGTATATGTACATATATACCCCCAAAACTCTACCTCTTTTCCTATGTTTGTAACACTGTACATACATACATATAATACGTGGTGCTTTGATGCTTTTGATACATTTTCGAAAACCTGAATTTTATCATTGTTTCCAAAATAGAATACTGCAATACTTCTTAATCTTTTAGGATACCTTGTCCCCCACAAGATCACTCGGCCCCCACCCCCGCGCTATCCTCAGGTGAAAGTTGATCACGCGCTAAAAAATACGCCCCCACCGAAGGGGGGTCTAGAAAGGCTGCGCTTGACAGCGCTTTTGGAAAATGATACAAATTGGACCAAACATTGGCGATGCCGGTTATGCCGGCCGGGGCAGATCGCACTATCGACATCGCAGACGCACGCATCACCCGAAGACACTGCATTATTGACATCGTGGGCGCGTTCGACCGAGTGTCCTATCCCAGCGGATGAGGTGATTGATATTGAGTGTGTGGTTTTGGTGGCGAGAGCTTATGAGGGGAAAGAAGGAGTCGGTGGAGTGGTCTTGGTTCTGAGGCCTCAAAAGATCACCCCTGCATGATTGACTACACTGGGCGGAAAACCACCCACAGTCGCCTTGGTAAGGTTACTGGCGTTCACCCAGCAAAAACACAGGGCGCGCTAAGACCAAGCTGGCCGCGTTATCTGGTTGTTTGGCCACTCCTTCATACAGAAAAACTGTTCCAAGACTCCTACGAGTTCCAAGAAGCTCGATTCTTCCGGTCATCGATATTGTACATTACGCGCGAAAGTTTTATACATTCGACTGTAGACGTTTCTTCCCGGCTCTGAGAGCACTAGTTGCTAATGACACACGTTTTCAATGTGTGTCTGGAATGTCTATCTGCATGTATCTCTGTCTGTCTGCGTGGTCTGTCTTACTCCACACATTTTCCCTTTAATCTGAGCGGGCAGCTTCGACCCCGAAGTGGTGTGAATAAGTTGAAGAAATATAGATAATTCTCATCCGTCCCCTTTACCTAAGCCTGGGCGCGCAAACTACAATCTATCGGTTCACTTATCCACCTCTTCCGGCTTGTTTATACAGTCAAAAGCCCTCAGTTCGACCAACGAATGGTAGGGCTAGGGTGCTGCAGGGCCATTCTGGCGGATGGCCGAAGACAATTCTGACGCTGTTGCGCGCACGCGTCAAGAGAGCATCGAAATACGCCGTGAGATCCTCCCTAGGCATTGTCAAGTGATCCGGATTTGGTCTGGTATTGGGCGCGAGCAAATGCTGCTTGAATGAGATAGGCAACCGAAATCTCAAGCAGGATCGAGGCATGATACGCACACCACAAAGAGGCCAGACGCTCGGGACGAGATTCCATAAGGGTGGGTTCAGGGTGAAAAGAAACTTGAAAAATGTGACAACCAAGCCATGTCGCGGTTTCTTGAACATGTACTCTGCTGCGCGCGTTCAAGTGACACGTAACGTTCTATGGTTGTCCGGGGCCTGCGTCGGTCCAGTGGCTTCTGTCAGCCGCTTGAAGGGACGGCGCGGTCGAATCACACTGAAGGGATCGTCTCAGTTACGTTTAACCCAAGCGACAAAGAATCGAAACCTCAATTGAAAGCCAGACACTCGAAACGGCGCTCTACCGAAGTTTGGTTTTTGCGCGATGCGGAGATATCAGTAAGGGTACTGCTGAGAAAGGATCATCCACGATATCCACCTCTTCCGGCTTATCTATTGGGTTTAAGCGTTACGTTTATAATCAACAAACTGCATGTATTCGTTCAAAAACCCGCTTTGGAACACCTATTTCAAAATTGCTGCAATACTACTTCTCTTTTCTCCAAATGGCAATCAGGGGCATGTCACACGTCAGTTCGTGAGGATCGGTTTCCTCAGTTCGACCAACTTCCCCCAGCCTTTGTCGAACGGGTTCATGGCGCAGATGACTTCAAGAGCCACTCTGCGATGAAGGTCATACTTTTGAAGCTGGACTTTGAATGGCGGCCCGAACAGCCTGGCACTCTTCGCCATCCCCTCGACACGAGACGGGGCATCAGAAGAATTAGGTTTGAGATAGATGCCTCCGACGCATGGCGGCGCTGTCGTCCTGCAGGCAATGCGAAACGCCTGACTTGCGGTGTACCACAATGTCCTGCTCTTCAAGATTCGGGAAAAGGGTCCTTGCCTCTGCGTGAGCCCAAGGTTCACTCACCCGAAGATCAAGCCAATTCTGGCACTCCTCGTCACTCGACAGGCTGCTCTTTCACTGAGCTGAAGACCTTCGCCTTGAGCTTCTGGTTGGGCCCAGGTCGAGGCTGACTCAAGTCTACAGCTAAAGCATCAGGGTCAAAATTTCCGGCTTGGTAAGCGCGAAACATTGCCAGTGCTTTATCACATAATGAAGTATAGGTGTCGACACTGGCTTGGCCCCCGGATCCACGCGATGTCCCAGCAACCTTCTTTCATCCTGAGAGAACGAGAGGCCATTGTTAGGAAACCTGTTTTCAGCGAACGTGTGGAGACTTTGCTAGCGCATCACCTCTGGCAATTTCAACGACAGGTTCGAGATCGGGGTTGAAGAAAACATCATGATCCTTGTTGGACGGGAAACCGTTCCGCTCGCCGCGTGGCACAAAATCGCATGTATCCCTGCAGGTTGCGTTCATGTCCCAGCTCTGGGCTGCTGTGTCCGCCTTTGCCTTGCAATCCTTTACATTTGTCTTCCAGCTCTGGGCTGCTGTGTCCGCCTTTGCCTTGTAATCCTTTACTTTACATTTGTCTCCCAGCACTGGGCTGCTGCGTCCGCCTTTGCCTTGCAATCCTTTACATTTGTCTCCCAGCTCTGGGCTGCTGTGTCGCCTTTGCCTTGCAATCCTTTACATTTGTCTCCCAGCTCTGGGCTGCTGCGTCCGCCTTTGCCTTGCAATCCTTTACATGTGTCTTCCGGCTCTGGGCTGCTGTGTCCGCCTTTGCACATGCGCTGCCATCTGCTGAAGTGTCACATGCGCCGATTCGGACTCCGTCTGCCAGGCTCCCGGAATTGGATTCGAAAGTCCACCAGACTGCTAGCTGCTAGTCAGTCATGAACAGATGCCCTAATTAATTAGCCAAAGTATGTCAAGGACCAAGGAAGTCCCACTTTTCGACCGTTGTCACCGGCCAGTCTGGTGAACGCAGTCCCGATTCGGAACCTGAGCATGAAGAACTGTTCATGGCCAAGGCGTCTTCAAACCACTGATGAGCAATTGCTTCGCATGGAGGCGTGCCGGGCACTGGCCCGTGAGGATTTACAGAATTTTATGGGACTTCTTGACCGTTCATCCCGTCCAGGCAGACCTGAAGATTGCACACTTGACGCCAGCAATGGATTTTTCAGACATGGAGCAACTGAGAGTATCAAACATTTATTGCACGAATGCTCCAAGACACTCCCAGAAGTCGTCCTCATAATCGATCTCTTGGCTGTCGAGTCGAGGTGCTGCAGCCATGACCACAGGGACGCTTGAGGCAATAAAGGTAAGAAAAATTGCTGCAGATTCACATGTTGCGAGCTGCACAGACTTATGTCTCCACAGTCCCTGAGGCCAGCTCACGGGGTCTGCAGTTTTTGTATTGCTTGGTATTCTGGCTTTGTGAGGAAACCAAAATACCAAAACTGCTTTGAATATATGTATTTTGCTAGGTATTAAAACAATCGCAAAACACTACAATAGTCAGCAGATTGAAAATCAGCACGAAACACTGTAAAACACGGTACCGGGGGGAGGGTACTATACATATATATATATATAGTGTTTTACTGTTTATTAATTTACATATTTTTGACTCCCGCATCTGGACAGGTCACTTGGCCCTCACTATCTGTCCAATCAAGCAGCTGCGTAAGGAACTGCTAAAAAGGAGGATCAATCCAAAAGCATACAAAAAAAAAGTTTACATGGCTCTTTCACAGGCGGCAATGCGTGTGTAACCTGCAGGTATGTTTCGGGGTATGTTGCAAGGTATGTTTCGGAGGTATGGTTTGCAAATCCACAAGCAACATCTCATTTTTAGCCAGGTATGTTTCGAGGGTATGATTCGGGGGTATGATTTGACCTATGTTTCGACCTATGTTTCGGATGATGTTGAACGTGCGTCCCATCTAGAGTGCTTAGCACTGCATTTATGGAAGCAGCCACATAGTGCGAGGCTCATTTGTTGCATAGGTAGGAATACCTGAGACGGATGCTCCCAGATTGAATCCTCCCGGCTCTCATTGTGATAGTAGACGTTGCCTGATTCATCCTCTGCCTCCAAAGGAGCTCAAATCACTCAAAACGATGCCAAATAGGTGGTTTTCAGACCACTGCACAGAACAGAAAATGACAAGAGTGGAAGCAGGCCAAGTAGTTTCAGTCTTTACTGGCATCCCTCAAGAATTGGATCAAAACGCTCAAGCTTGCGAGTGAAGGATTCTCCACACAACCCCCGCCCGTTCCCAACCACTGAGCATCTTCGTGATACTGGCTTCCCAGCTCTCCTCAACGGCGGTGCTACGATGAGTGTACTAGTACGTCAAACTAAAAACACTATGCCCAAAAACAGCCGCCATAACCACAAGGGTCTACAGCATTAGGGCCCAAAAGGTCTCACGATAGATACTTCAGGGAGTCCTGGAGGAGTGCCCTTTCCAGACCCTAAGTAGTTGAGGGTATCCCAAACATATGAAATGTCGGCAAGTCTTTGCGGTTTCCGGTGGAGCCCTCTGTGGCACCCTTGCTTTCACACCCTTTTCTGCAACGCTTCGGAACCAGACACCAAACACACCAAACGAACACCTTTCCCCAGTCCTGAAGAGAGTTGATGCAGTTGTTTCGAAGCTCAGGTGATAGTTGAAGGCCTGTGTCACATTTATATAAGAGTGAACAGGTTTCGTTCTGGAGGCTAAAGTGGCAACATCGCTTCCGTCCACAAAGACATGTTACGTTTCAACACAAGTTGTAGCTTGATGTGACTCTTCAAACTCCACTCTCAACCCTTCCTGTCAACAGCCACAGGAAATTCTAGCTTTCACAAGATAAGTGGCAAGTCTGGAAGACGCAGGAAACCTCGCGGAGAGTCAGATCCAGCGGGTGCACCTCAAGTGGTACAAAGCAAAATTGAATTGATAGGAAGAAACCAAAGTGAGATGTTCATGCCAAAAGAAAAACAATACACCGGCATAGACTCCAGATAGCAAAAGAGATTTATGGGACCCTCCAGCGGCACACTGTAGCAGCACCAGCATGCAGGGGGAATTGGAAAACATTACAAGACAGGGCAACGGATCAGTCGCTGTGTATTGTGGCTACTGTTTGTTGCGGAAACTCTGTCTCTAATCTGGCAACCTGTCCCAGCTTGCGTTGCTTCTCTCCCCCTCTCTCTCTCTCTCTCTCTCCATGGCCTTGTCCCATCCCATTCTGAGAAGCCCAGCCCAGGAAGTCTCGTTGCTGGTTTGATTCCAGAAAAAAGCATTGCCTTCATCATCCCTGCGAAACATCCACGGAGCTGGCAGGCCACTGTCCACCAGAACATCTGAAAGAAATCTGGAGATTGAGGGATCCTCGGGACGGTGCAGTTTAGCACCAAAATGGCAAAAAGAACTGAAGCAGGGTGAAGCTAGAATGTTCCTGACAACAGACTTTATATGTCCATCAATTCAAAATCGATCAAGCCAAGGCTCCTGCTTGGCAGAGACAATGCCCTGATTCTGCAAATATTGTGAGCGTTCATCAGAAGTCCACAATTTTACGTTCCTGGGCCCAGCAAGACAAATCAAAAGCAACTTGACAGCTCCGAATTTTGGGCGTGGGATTGGGATTCCCCAAAATCATTTGAGTCCAACGTTGTCTGCAAAGTGGTTGACGGCTTCACGCGTCGCTGCCGAACTAAATTGGGGGTGCGCAAAGCAGTGGAAATTGAAGACCATCACTCAAAGATGGAAAACTGACATGGGCTTCGAACAACTTGACAGACAGGGAGGATCCGTCAGTAAACGCGGCGCAAAGGATGATGGATTGATATATCGGATAAACTCGGATATATAAACACCTTCAAATCATGATAACATGAGGCTATAAAATCCTCATTTGTGTGCTTGAAAATCAGCTCTAGAAGCGATTTAAATGTCCCAGCAAGGCTCTCAAGCTCCCCAGGACTGAGCTGCGACCAGGTGCCATGATATTGGGTCATGGCTGGTGGAAAAGGAACATGCGCAAAACTGAAAAGAGTTGCAAGAACCACTGGGCTTTCTGCTTTGCAATGGGATTGAGTGACACGTGGTTGTTAGCCTCATCACGCAGACACCAACAAAGTTTGTGCGATGGACAAATGAGCGCAGGCAAAGCTGAATCTGTACAGCGCAAAGGGCTCGTCCAGGCAACAACGGGTGCTAGATTTCCATACCTGGAAGATCCTGGAGATCCGGTCCCTGCATGGTAAAGCAAGTCTGCGGCCCAAACTTGAACGAACAAAAGTTCCTATAGCTTCGCCGAATGGTAGCTGGCCTTGTTTGTAAGTACTTGACCCCTGCCTTTACAAGAGTGCTCTGCTAAGGTTATGGTCATAAGATCCCAAAAGTGGGTGCAGTTTTTGTCAAACCGTCAAACCTCACAATCCGGGTTGGCAAAAAGCAAGCCACAGTCAGGGAGTGCCAAATCACACCGATCTAAAAGGCCAAACAAAGCTCTCTTGTGCAAAGGCCTCAAACATCCTGAAACCCTCTTTTTGCTCGAACCGGCTGCGCTGGCAAAGCAGTCTTGCTCTGCGTGCTCTGCTTCCCCTTCAAGTTCTTCACCTTGATCTTCGCCGCCCTCTGGGCTTTCCATTAGACCCATATCTGCTCCTTGTGACTGAGCAAAAAGCATCATGCACATCACAAAGGTATCACGTGCATTGATGTGCTCCAGGCGGAATGTCACCATCTCATTGCTGGGTCTGACTGCCAGCGTTGCACAAAGGTCATCCAGTGGGGTTCTCAAGCCTTCAAGCTCCATCCCAGGAAAAATGCCGCCAATGTCTTTTAGCGCTAGGCGTCTCACCTCAGGACACATCCACAGCCTATTGAAGCAGGCAAAAGCCATCTCAAATGTGACACTGTATAGACCTTTGCTGCCTGTGCTCCCCGTGTGCCTGTCTCTTTTTCCTCTGATTGTTTGAACCGCTCAGTCCCAACACAGCAAGGCAAGCAGCTTGGTTTGCTCGAGCGATTCTCAAGACCGTCAGCTCTTGGTTGAGGCTCACAGTTGTTGATTTCAGTCGGCCAGTAGGCAACAACACTTGCATGCGCCGGCCAGCACGCATCTCGACGACAAAGTCTCGCACCACAGTTTTGGCCTCACCCAAGAGGTACACCCTTAAGCGAATGACACACGCAGCTCACCAAAGCTTTCGAACTGTATTGAGCTGGAAAGAACACAAATTTTGAACACAAACAACTCTTGCCAGCGCCTGCTGCAACTGGTCCGCCATCGTTCAAAATATAAATGTGTTCATGCTCCCTTGAATGTGCCACTGCTGCGGTTGCAAAGCTGGCATAGTGCGTGGCTTGGTTGCACACAAACACAGTACAACGATCATTGGGGAGATGCTGACTTCCGAAGTTGGGCTTTAAATTACGATCAACTGCTGAGATACTGTATGTGCCGAGATATGTGCCATCTGCTGCAAAACGAAATTTCAACACTTACCTGGCAAATATGGCATCGCGCTATTTTTCTCGCACGGAAGGCACCCTGTGCATCTCCAGGAAACGGCAAATCCTGGAATGTCATTCAAACATGTGCATGTGATGTACAGAACTTGAGAGGCGGGGAACGAAAGCAATGACGACGACACGACGATCGTGAAAACACCTTTAAAATAATCCCCTGAGATGATGTTAGTGATGTCGTGTCCCTCGAGGGGGCGGGGGGGTGGGCCTTAATCAATACCGCTTCAATTCGTTAAGGGAAGCGGAGGGGGGGGGGCTATAGAGATTCACTTCACACGAAGGGGGGGGGGTGGGGGGGGGGGGGGGGGGGGCCGTTTGTAGTGATCTTTCAATTGATCCCTTCGATTTTGACCCATCTAATCGTAAACTAGAACTTCAGCTGACCTCCTTCGGAGATCGCTTTCGTGAATGCGGGTCTACACAGCTTTATCAGGTTGTCTTCAATTGCAAACTCAGCATCTGAGACCGGACATGAGCAAACCCAGCAGGAGCACATTGGAACCATCTTTGTGAAGATCGAAGAAGGGAATTTCGCAGGTTCAACTGCTTGACTTGCCGCCAAAAGCTTGGGAAGGGGCGCGCTGAGATTGAATGCAAGCACCTGAAAAGCTGCGCCCCTCCACATACAAAAAACAGTGTTTTTGCCTGGTGATCTTTTTTGTGTTGGTCTACACTGGATAAAAGTACCTGTGAGCTATAGCGGTTCGATCAGTTGTTTGGGAAAAACATTGCTCTGGCCTTGCATTGGCACTGCACTTTCAAGATCGTTGCTGCGATTGTTGTAGCGTTGTTGCTTGTGCTGCAGCAGGGTGCACTGAAGGGATTATCTGGCTGACATTGCATGTTTCCCAGTGATTGCGTGTTTACATTGAATGTACACTTCTGGACTTGCGCACTGAATCATCCTTAGTTCTCCTGATTTGCGCGCGTTATCCCTGGATGACGTGTCTAGGCTTCGACACCCGCCTCCGGACTCTTTCTTCAGTGAGTGAGTTCTACGTAACAAATGTTGATGTCCATTCTGTAAAGCACGTCGTGAAGCATTCTCTCATATGTATGGGTGGCACATACTACTGGCACACATATTGCATAGTTTTTAGGTTGTCTTAAACACAAAGAACGCTGCCAACTGCCACCATTATGTTGCATTCCCATCTGCCCCAGTTTCATCATGATTCCTTCCACCAACTGTGAAAATCCGATTCGCTGTTGAATCAACCGGAGGGTTCCACGGTTCATCGCCAAGTTCGGACTCATGGACAAGTTTCTGATCAACCCATGTTTCCTTACTGTGCCAACTATCGGTCTTATCTTCTTCTCCTGCTATCGGCGCATATTCTTCTGCGTCTTCATCCTTCGTTTCAAGCAAAATCAGATTTTGCCTCCCCGGCCCTATTTCAAGAATGTGAGCGCAGCACACAAATAAGCTCTCGACGATCCTTCTGGCAAAGCGATGAAGTTCCTGAAATCAGTTGTATGTACGTCGACATCGAAGAGAACTCCGCGATACGATAGCAGGCGGCTATCAAGCAAATAGACTATACACTGCAAAGTTGAACAAATGCAGTCATAATATTTAAATCGCATTGGGGTGTGTGAAAAGTTTGTGCAGTTAGAATGCTGCGTGGTAAGCCAGAGGAACAACAAGCGGCCTTTGTCCTCACAACCCTGATGTCTTTGTAGCAACTAAGAGCAGCAGCTCTCTCCCAGCATCCTCATGTCCAACCTTCTTTCAAATCAAAATTCACGCAGTGCTTGGACAAAAGGTAATAGTGTTCGATAAAGCGCTCCATGGCCATAAACGATAGAGTGCTCAAGGGCCAAAATGTTACTGAATCCAAAACGTTTACCAATGTTAAACTGACATATCAATATTCTATCTGCATCCCTGCACCCTATCTCACCTGGTTTTCAAACATCTGAACCACCCTTTGACATGCACATTTTGGAGTTTAAATGAACAATGTTCTATGTGCAAGGCCACTATTCTAAGGGTTCCTCAGTCTAAGAAGTTTTTCAAAAGCTGTGCCATTGCCTTGAAAATCTTCAGTTCAAATCTCCAAAGCACATTCTGCATATGGCAAATCTCTATGCGTTGGAATTCCTGGTGTTGCCGATGGCTTCACCACCACATCTGGACCAGGGATTCGTTCTATCGCACTTGATCCCAAATCCTACTCCTCCTGCTTACAACCCTTGAACGCGTAGCCACAGCCATTCCAGCCCTCGTACTTGTCTAGTGGGAACATTTCGTGTGTCCATCCTCGCTCACAAAACTTTCAGACATTCAGGCAGCTGCATTCTCTTCACTTCCTCTCGAAGCTGGTCGGCTTTGAGAAACTTATCAACTTGGGTCGGTCATGCCGCACACCTCTTGAGCGGTACGCACACTCACTGGCAAGGCTGGCAAATCCTTTCCCATACGCCACGGCCACGGACGTCGAATGGATTCGACTGGCATCCTTGTCACAAGTCAGTAAGAGGGACCTGGCCCGACTCCTCCGCCTGAGCTTGAAGCCGTGCCTGACAAACGCCAAGCGGATGTCTGCTTGTACGCTCAGTCCTGTGCGCTGTTGCATGAGAGTGTCCAGGACGTCTTCGTCCTACTACTTGGGGCTCATTGGCTCTTGGCTCCATGACGTCTAGACAGACCCATTTTCACTCCATCTCCACTTTGGTTTCGTTGGTCCACTGCGAAAGCAATTCCACCAGGTTCCCAGGCGGCGCCCTTCACACATGGCGCAGCCACTTGCAATCCCAGCCTGAAAGGACCTGTTAAACGTCAGGAGCTCACGTCAAGGCTATCTTCCACGCAAGGCTTGCGGGAAGGCGCAGGTACGCGATCTGTCATTCAGTGACCGACACACGCTTTCACATCGCCCTTTCTTTATAGTTTGCTGCATCATGCGTGCACCCTTTGGGTTCACAAGGAGTCTTTCGGTGTTTCACTGTATACTCTGTATACAGCAGGCGGATCAAGGGCGTTGGGCTTGGCAAGCCAATCGTCAGGGTATGATCTTATGACTGAAGGCGCCTACCCCCGCCAAGTCCTGGTCTGGGTTAGCTGCAAGCATGGGCTGCCAGTGACCTCACCTCACATTGCACTTTGGCAATGGACAGGGAAGGAGGGTGGTTTTGAGCGATACAAATGCAAGATAGACCGGGTACGATACGGAGGGACCAAAAGCCGGTTCGCAGAATAAAATGACAGCGATCTGCAGCTGCCTGCAGACCCCGAACATCACATCCCTTCAGCCAAGAGAGTCACAGTTTGTCAAAGACACAGCCTTGTCTCGTGAAATGATAATTTCACCCCACCAACATTGACAGCGTGAACTGCTGGAACCATTGACCCACTAGCAACGGGAATATTGACAACATCACAACCAGGACCCAGTGACTTGACAGGTCTGAGCAATGGACACGGCTGAGCGTGACCGCGTTCGGCTTCCCAAATACGAAAGCTAAAACCAGAAGAATCGAACCCAAACGACAACAGGTACAATACTGTCCCACTCACTGCGCCTCATGCTTTCACAGCTTCTCGCAAGACGGCCAGGAACTTTCCCTGGTGCCGTGAACAGTCACTTTTTTGACAACGCTGCATCATTACACCCCCCATGTACTGTAGGCATACATTGCACGTCTCAGACAAGCTCTCCCCACCTGCTGATCACTGCTGTGCAAGTTCAAGCGAAATGCACAGAACGCGACCTGCAACCGATCCCTTCGGTTTACCTGATTGAAAAACTAGGGAGGGGAATCTGTTGGGGTAGTTTTTTGATAAACCAGCTACTTACCTTGACTCCCTGGACTGCTGGCAAAACAACAAACCCAAACACCAAAGCCAATGACACGGCAGACCTGAAAACGACCAGCGTATTTGACCCTTCCTGGCCTTGCCACCCCCTTCTGGACAAGATCTTTTCGTTCAATGTTTGTACTTTGCAGTGTGTAGGTGTCTTGAATGTCATATATGGCGGGCGACGCCCTTGCCCCACTTGAAGCCTTGGAAATCTTCAAGCATGATGCCACTGAAGTTTTAATAGAGCCAATTATCCCCAATTGGCTACAATCCGAGCAATCATAGCCACGGTGCTACAAGTAGCAATGGCAGCAAAAGTAAGAGTTGTATTTTCCACGTCGCCGTCATTTTCATTGTCGTCGTTGTTGTTGCTGTGGCGGTTGCTGTCCTGGCAATGGAAGCAATAGTAGCAGTAGCAAGAGTAGCAGTGGCAATAGTAGCAGCTGCGCTTGCAATAGCAATAGCGTTGGCATTGCAGTATGGTCGTAGTTGGTGCTGGAGGATGCATTAGGCACCCTGCAGTGGTTGCAGGTACCAAAATGCGATCTGCAAGGCTAGGCAGGAGGCATTGCTCTTATTGTTGGAACCCTATTGGTAAGCTACCTTTTGGCTGACACTTGCGACGCGAACCAGCATCACCAGCATCATGGATGGGGTGGGGCGGGCTAGCGCTCGAAACCGCTTGCAGATCTGCACCCGCGCGCGAGTTTCATCATCTTCATGGGTGGGGTGTGGGGCGAGTTGGGGTACGCTAACGCTCCACCCCGCCGGGTGAGGGGTGAATTCCCCAAAGTGGCAATACTAGAGTCTGTATACTGGACTTGTGAACGATGACACCGACACCGAAGAGTACGAGCGAGCGGCGCAGCGAGCTCTCTTGCTATGGCAGTGGTACAGCGCGTTCAGGGCTGAACCTTGCTCCAAAAGTACAAGTGAATTACGCTCTACAACAGAAGGACTGCTGCGAGCCGGACACAAGCGTCGCGACGCTGCTTTCCATTTCGCTGGCAGGCGCGTCGCCTCGTACACACGCTGAAGTCCTTGCGCTCGTTACGCTCGACGCACACTGCGCAAAGCCAGCGATCTTTCACTTTGACCGCGCAGTGGCTACAAAGTCGGTCGCGCCTTCCAAGCGGCAGCTCCAAATCCCATCTCCGGCTTTGCGACACTTGCCGCGCAGCTTCTGTGCTTCGCACGTCAGACACACGCGGTAGAAACTGCATTTGGGCGCCGGCGTGACATACATCTTCGCAAAGGCGGCTTCTCGCTTCCACGCTGCGCAGACACTGCATGGCCACGCATTCTTTGCACACCCGTGCGGCTGCGTCCCGCTTCCACTGCCCCGCCGCGTGCCCGCTTCTGGGTTTCTGCTCGCGGCATTCGCTGCACGCCTGTTCTTCCCAGTATGCCGCGCGAAACATTGCCAACGTCTCCGCGCCATGCCTGCAACGGCAAACCTCTCCCCACGCGGCTTCGTCCTGTCTGATGCGGCGAGGCATCGAAGGGTCTGTAGACGCACAAGCTTTCTCTATCTTTGGCCCGCGTCACGGCAAGGTATGCTGTCATGGGGTCTCCGCCCTCGCCGAGGTGTGGCCGTCCGTTGTGGCCCGGTCTGAGCTTGATGCTGTTGCGTCTAATTAGTTTGATTTGCATGTCTCTATGTACATTTTCCGCCATTCTTTTCTACCGCACCGACCAGAGTGTCTACGGTAGTGCTACAACACGTAGCTGGGAGAGACCGAACACACGTCAAAAGTTCTGTAGGTAGCACCGTACGGCGACAAAAGACGTTGGAAACACCTGGCGCACCACAAAGCTGATGAAGCTGAATTCTCAACGATGAACTCACCACCGTGTTCAATCTGGAACGTAGCAACTGTGACAGGAACTTCCGTCGACGCTGGTCTTGTGCGTTTAGTGATCATGGATATTGGTCATCTGACTCCAAGGAGCACAATCAGGTGCCATGTAAACAACTTTTAGACGTTGAATCTCAACGATGTCCATAGTCCTCTTACGGCACTGGTTCAGATTGTCAGAACCTGTTCAAAGGTCAATAGGCTGTCCAACTCTCAAGCCATTCATGGCTGCTACTTGACTCAATTTAGGTGAACCGGCGAACCATTCGAGAATCAATCTTACCAGACATGACTGGCTGCCAAGCATAAGAGGAATATGTGGCCATCAACACTTACTTGTGCTCCATCTTTCTGAGAAAGACAGGAATTGTCAGAGACCAAGATATCGGACTCCTTTTGCTCAGAAGTCAAAAGCGCAACTGGATCCCATAACACCTCAACATCTTCGACTGAATTCATGTCCTTACGGACCTTGCTGACGTTGACCTTGAGTATTCTTGCGCCTAGCAGAAATATCTTTTCTTAGATCGTCAGACTGTTTAGCTTCTAAACAAGACTTCATGACGAGTGTTCTGAGGGGTTCAGTGTTCTTTTCCGGAGGCGGAAATGAAGCTGTCAGCTGCGCAGAGGACCTGTTTTCTAACTACAAAAGATCAGTAGGTCGCCTACCAAAAGCCATTTCTAAAGGCGAAACTCCACTGAAGGTCACGGTTACCATTGAGTTCCTGGCCAAAAAAGCTTGTCCGAGGAGTTGACGGTACGTGATGTTGTATCGAGAAGGATGCTCAGTCACTGCCTTAAGTAGCATCAGGGCAATCTGCTTCTTATACGCGCGAACAGCAGCTTCACCTTTAGTAACAGGTCCTAAACTAATTGGCCGAATGTTCTTTCTGTTACAGAGGCCTCAAGTTCAAGACCCGTGAACTGAAACCTTGATCGCCGACCAAATACTTAGGATTCAACTGATATGCTTCAAAGTGCTCCGCAAGATGTCCAGTGGTTTCTGCTCAGATGTTCAAGAACAAAAGTTTGGTTCTGTCGTTTGTGGTAAATTCGCCACGGTCGACAAAAGTGAGTTCTCCAGAAGTCTACTTCGCACGCCTGAGATTCTTGATCGCAAAGGGGCAATCTTGGACTTCTGACCTGTCACACTGATTGACCACCTTGTCATATTCTTCTCAATTCATAAACTTTTTGCAGGAACCTTCAAAGCTGAAGATCGTTTCTTAAACTGCTCAGTCGACACGTGAAAGTGTTTCACCTGCTCAGTCGACACGTGAAAGTGTTTCACCTGCAGTTTGAGAAGTTCTGTTGGGCGTGAACAGTTATCATGTTCTCTCTCTGCAAAACTATCGCAGAATCATTGAAACCTTTGGTTCCTTCTTCTCTCTCAGTGGTTGGTTCTTTACGCGCTTCCTCTTTTGCCTCTGCCTGAGGCTCTGACTTCTCCGGTTCATCCGAGACTCTTTGCTCCAACTTGGAATCTTTGAGCGCTAGAACGGCGCACCAAAATCAGGAAACTTTCTCGTCCTCTGGTATGTCGGAGGTGTCACTGTTGTGGCAGGAGGCTGGCCAGCTTCTTCTCCGGCGTTCTCAACCGGAATATCGGTTGGCTTGGGTTTCCTATCGTCCGGAATATCGGACGTACTTGCCTTCTTGCAGCCACCCTTGTAAGCGTGAGCTCGACGCTTGCCATTGCAAGGCACGCTGCGTATACAAAGGGTTCGCCACGAAGCTGTGATTCGGCTTACGGTTCGAGCCGGCGAACATCATGACGTCGAAGACATTAAGGTTCCAATTGCTCACTGGCAACGAAAGATGCTTCAGGCCGACCAGCAGGCAATCAAGAAAGTCTCCGACTTGTGTGTGCTCATATAGTGGCCGCGCGAAGATTCCTGAGCTGTTCAACGCTGAACAGGATCGGCACGTTACCCCGATCGAGGACGTCGATTGTAGTGGAGATCCATCCAGAGGGCGGCGCTGGGTCATTCTGAAAGTAAATCACAAGTTTCTCACGGACGTTGGACTGCTCACTGTTTGCAAAAACCGGCTCGGCGATGCTTCAAAAGCAAAATTGATCTCGTGCGCATTTTTGTGATGCTTGCGCGCTCGAACCAATCGATTGATGGCAGTCCTTGATCCCCTTGCTCTGGTACATCCTGAATCAATGATGACGTATGTCGGAGAGTACCTACTCACTGAGCATGACCAAAGAAGAACAGAAACGAGGATTTACTTTTTCAGAATCACCGGAATACTGGCAGTCCTCCAAACTGTGTGCCAAACGGGTACGTTCAAGCAAAATGCTGAGCAGCGAAACTCGGTTGTCACCAATGGCATGATTTCCGGAATTTGGGAGACTGAAGACTGGTTGCTTGGGTCAGCTGATACGTGTCCTCACCTCGTTCCTCTTCTGATCTATCTATATGTCCGTCTGTTTCGCGCGCTGACCAACAAGCATCATCATGTCCATAAAAGTCTGCACGGTATCCGTATGAGACATTCCAGTTCCATGATGAATCACGCGCGACGTCGAGGGCTCTTCGGTGGTTGCAACATTCCACTGCTGATTCTGATTCCGTTGCTTGCTCTTTCCTTTACCTTCGAAGAGATCTTTTCTTTAAAAACCTTGCTCGCCACCTTTCTTTCCCTTTTTGCATGTTCCACATAAAAACCTTGAATTGTCTGGATACTCTGCATATAACGCGCGCCTGCACCTTTGCCTCTACGGCTTGTGAAGCCGGGTCTTCTACCTTTTCCGCGGCCTTTACCTTTGCCGCCGTTGGGTTGCAACACCAAAAAATCGAACTCTGAGAGCAAACTCACAAATCCTTCTGCGCCAGTATCCTGATCCATCACCCAATATCATCGATATCCAGATTCTTCCTCCAAGTCTCCTTCGTTGAGGACAAGGAAAGTGGATCCTTTCTGCCTGCGGATCGAGGGATTGGCCATTCCTGTGGCAGTTCCGCAAAAGAGGTCAAGAAACAAGGTACCAGCGCTGTGAAAGGGTCGGGGGATTCAGAATGGCGTGCCGCAGCAGAGGGCGAACGTGAGAAGTGCAGAGATTTCGGAAATACATTGAAAGCAGTGCGTCTCGTTTCGTGGTCCTGTGTTTTTCTCAGTGGAAGCGCTCGATACCTTCGCCTGTCTGCGCGACCATTTTTCTTCCAGACCAGTCCTTAGCGCTGCTTGTTTGTTCCGCCGGGCAGCCACATGCGCGAGCGAATCCCAAGGCTGAACGGCAAGACAACGACTCAACTCAACACAAACAAAGAAGCAGCTGTGAATTAGTCAGGTATGCTCCTTTCAGAACAGACACACACGAAGTGGATTTGCGCAGCGAAGCAGGAGACACAAGCTCCGCTTCCACTTTGAGCGGTAAATTCCGCAAAGTGGCAGCGCTAGAGTATGTGAATTGGACCTGTGAACGATCACACCAGAGTAGCCCAAAGAGCACAAGAGCGAGCGCAGCGAGCTCTCTTTTCTGCTATGGCAGTGGTACAGAGCGTACAAGGCTAAACCTTGAGCCAAAAGTACAAATGAATTACGCTCTGACTCTACAACAGAGTACTTACTGCGCAGACACGCCTGGGGGGCCTAGAGCCCAACTAAATTACATGGGCTGGAGCGGGGCGCATGGGGTATGCTTCTGGACAACGTCATCAAGGCGCACGATCCTGATCACCATCATCATGGGTGGGATGAGGTGGGGTGGGTCGGGGTGTGCTGACGTTCGAGCGAAGTCATTGGCCTCTATCCTGTCCGACAAACTCTTCGTCGTGAAAAAGGAATGCGGTGAAAAACAACAAATGAACCCAAGCGAGGGGCGAGAGAAGTAGCATCACCAGCGACGAGAAAATTGGCGCCACTAACCAGTCACCGCCACTTTGTTGAAACCGTTGGAGTCACAGGGAACCTTTTGGTCTTTGCTCTCACCATTGGCGGATGGCTAATGAAGAGGCCACTGGTGAGAGCTGTAAACGTACCTGCAGCTTTAACTTATAACTGTCTTTTCTACATCTAATTGTCACGGCGACTCACTTGCGAAGCTTCGCTCTTGTAGATTTGACATGTCCCAGTGCATACGTGCAATTCCTTTCTGGAAGAATTCCTTGCTGAGTTCCTTTCTGAAAGAACTCCGTGAATTTTGAATTTGACCTGCCGACTTTCAAACTCTTGCTTTGTGGACAGTACGCCTGCAGATTGAACTAACAGTTGAGCGTCAGACAGAGAGATGCTTACCATTGCTGATTTCCTGAAACCTGGTTTGCTCAGGCCCCCTTTTTTGACCAAGTGGCCTTGCCGAGCAAGGTTTTGTCTCCGTCCTTGTGCGCGGGACTAGAGTAGCTCGCAGCGAGCGTAAGAGGTTTACGCCAAGGTCAATTTAAGCCTTGATGAAATACTGACATTGAGCAGGCAATCATTCGCAGGCCAAGAGGTGTCCAGAGCGGACTGAGGTATTTGGCCCTTTCATTTGTTTTCCCGTTCATTTGCCCTCCACACATTTATAGAAATGCGTACTGATGCGAAAGCGGTTGCCACACGCCAACCTGGGTACCCAATTCCTGAAAAGGTCAAGTAAACCTACGGAGCCTGCGTGACTGCAGAAAAGGCTGCAAAATTGAAAGGCAAGTACGTCAGCGCTGGCTGGGCACTGATATCACATCCACTTGGCGGCGGTCTTTGTTAGATGGGGCACACCAAGGGATCCTCATCCCTTCGCTGTAAAGAACAAATTGAGTGCTTCCCTAAGTCCAGGCTGTAAATGGTCAATACAGAATTGCTTTTAGCAAGCCACAGGCAGTGACTTCCCTTTAACTCGTTCGGCCAAGCTCCCTCAAGCAAATGATCTGCCGGTGTCCACGAAGAATAAGGAAAGATGAGTGAGAGAGAGAGAGAGAGGAGCGAGACGACGGTGTTCCCAGCTAGGACTCAAGCCTCCAAGGACACACCCGACAAGAAAAGAAGAGAGAGAGAGAGAGATGCTCCCAGCTACGACTCCAGCGTCCAAGGACACACCAAACAAGAAAAGGAACAAGACGATGGTGTTCCCAAGAAAAGGCAAAGAAGGAAGAGGGGAGAGGGAAAGGGAAGGAAAGAGGATGAAGGCCCCCGATAGGTTCCAATGAACCTTAAGTAGCTTCGGCCGCTGCGGCCACCTACGCCGTGCCAAAATGGCTGGCTGCTCTGGGCGCTGTGGTCACCTAATGGCTTGTCCGAAGACTGCCTACTTAGAATTCAATAATCCGTCAGGTCTTGGCAAGTAACTTTGGCATAAGCCTCCTGCTGTCCGCTCTGAACACGTACATCTCTGGGCAGGGGAGATAAAGACAAACCCCAGTTCAACGGGTCCACAGGGGCCCACCCTGACCTCTCACAAAGGAGAGACACACTTACTTATAGACTTATAGAAATGCATACTGATGTGAAAGCGCTTGCCACACGCCAAACTGGGCACCCAATTCCTGAAAAGGTCAAGTAAACCTACGGAGCCTGGAGGTCTTCAAGAGGAAGCAGGGCCAAAAGCTCAATGCGTGACTGCAGACAAGGCTTAAAAATTAAAAGGCTGGTACGGCAGTGCTTGCCGGGCACTGATATCACATGCACTTGGTTCGTTTTTTTTTAATTAGGCACACCAAGGGATCCTCATCCCCCTGCTGTAAAAAAACAAATTGAGTGCTTCCCTAAGTCCAGGGAATCGCTTTTAGTAAGCCACAGGCAGTGACGTCCTTTAACTCGTTCGGTCAAGCTCCCTCAGCGCAAAACCCGACCGGCAGGTTCCTCCCTCTCTCTCTCTCGCTCGCACAGCGGCCACGGCGGCCCCCTGCTGAAGCAAGAAAAACGTAAAGACATCTCTAGTCCAAAAGGACCCCTGTGACTCCAAGGGGCACACACACACACACTCGCTTTTTCTCCTTTCTTTTCATGTCTCTTCTGCCTTCACGTCCGGTCATCGCACTCCTTTTTTTCTTTTGCGCGCACATCGGTCCGGCCCTTGGTGTGTATACGCGCACCCGTAGATTTTAAATAGGTATTAGGTGGCCCAGGTTTTGGACAAAGGACTCGGGAGGCGTGTGTGTGAAACCCTTGCAGTCACAGGGAACCTTTTGGCTTTTAGTATTTGAGCAGGGGGCCATCCCTCTCACCATTGGCGGATGGCTAATGAAGAGGCCAATGGTGAGAGCTGTAAACGTACTTGCAGCTTTAAGTGTCTTTTCTATATAAATCTAATTGTCATGGCGATTCACTTGTGAAGCTTCGCTCTTGTACATTTGACATGTTCCAGTGCATATGTGCAATTCCTTTCTGGAAGAATTCCTTGCTGAATTCCTTTCTGAAAGAACTCCTGCCGGCTTTCAAACTCTTGCTTTGTGGACAGTACGCCTGCAGATTGAACCAACAGTTGAGCGTCAGACGGAGAGACACTTACCATTGCTGATTTCCTGAAACCTGGTTTGCTCAGGCCCCCTTTTTTGACCAAAGTTTCTTCTCAGCTCTGGCGGCCTCAGTACGTGCATTATCCCGAGCGTGTGTCCGTCCAATCTCCTGCACCTGCCAACCTCCTGCTCTGGACCTTCGCAACACCATGTGGTGCCCTGCTCGCTGCAAGCCGCTCGCACGAAACGTCATCAGCAAAGTACATTCAAACACGGGCCTCACCATTGCCACAAGAATGTGTTCGAACCTCTTAATGTATGCCACACTGTTTGGGAGATACCGCCAGGCAAATGAAGGTGTGAGACGTAACTCAATCCACCCGCGCCTCACCATGACAGCTCTGTGACTCTTCGGTATCTACACCAACGAAGCGCACAGACTTTTGTCCAACTTTCTCATACCTCACACCACTTGGGAAGTTGAAGCATTTACAATAGAAGTCTAATGAGATGACACAGCTTTCCAGGCCTGCCTGGTGGTCGGAAAAATTGGTGTGTTGAGCAGGAGCTTCAAAACACCACGCATTCGCATAACCAAACGACCAGCTCCGCTGGTCTTGTGCCTGTTGATGTGCACCTCAAAGTGACTCCGGAATATTTGGGTCTTTATCCCGCCTTCTAGCCTTTCTCTTCTAAATCTCTCAGGGAAAGGCGATGCCACAGCCTCGCTCCTGCCATCGCCAGCCCTGGCATCATGCAAAACTGCAGTTTCGCTGACATCACACCAGCGGCGCCACAAGCTTTCAGTGTGCAGAGTGCAAAGTCCGCCCTTGTGCCTCGGCTTTTCCGTCTTCAAGTTTGACCTGGCGACATGTCCGGTCACTCAAGTGATATAAACCTTGTCATGCTGACAGTGCTTGTTTCACCATAATGTGACACTGGCATCACGGCCATCATACACCTAGCAAATGATAGATTGTCATGATTGGATTGCCAATAAATTTACTTAAATTCGAATGCTTACACGACTCACACCCTCCCAGATTTCGCTGGGTTTAACACCGCAACTGTAGCAGCGTGGATGGGCAATCAAATGTACTGAATTAGATGTTGCAAACAATGGTGTTATTGGCCGATATCCGCTCTATAATTCAGGCAAGCCGGCAAGCTTCCAAAGCTTGCAGTCAGCCCGGAATATCACCTCTTCATCCTCCTCCCCTGCAGTGTTGTCAGGGCAAAGGAAATAGAGCACATAGACAGGTGCCTGTTGGCTCATCTCCCGCAGATTCTCCGTCATCAGCTTCGTTTGCTGCATCCTGGTCTACTTCGCGTTCCTGCTTGCTGGATTTGGTATCAGTCTTCAAAACACTTCAATCGAGCCTCTGCAGCCTCTGCAACCTCAGCAGCCTCACAGTCAGCCTTGGGTTGGTCCCCCGCATCACCTGCAAATGCTTCATCAGTCTGAACGTGTGCTTCAATGAGCCTCAACTGCTTGAGCTTCTCGCCAGGAGGCTTTTGTTGCAGCGTTGTGACTGCTGCAGTAAACAACTTTCCTCACAAAGCGCGTCTACCTGTCTAACTCTGACTCATTAAGGCTCAGGCTTCTTCAAGGAAGCTCCCCCGCCTGAGGGCGACGGGGAGCTTCCCTGAGGACGCCTGAATCCTTCTGTGTCCAAGCCTAAGAAAATAATTAACCTTAGTAGCGCCTACACCCCAGGACAATGTTAAAACGTTTGAGTATGACCATGATGTCCTGATGTTGGAGAAGAGAAGAGCGACAAGCCCATAAAGGGATTGCCCGACTGTGGAAAGCAGGAAAGCAAGTGGAAAATCGAACTGACTGCAGTCAGAATTGCACAACTTGCCAGAACCTTGTCGGCTTGCAAAACTCCTCTTATGTTAGGCTTGCGACCAGTTGAATCAAGTCGCACTGAGAAGCCTCCTAAATACGGTTGAATCATGGAGATCAAGGCCTCTGTCATCGTTCCATTCGAAGGAAACCTCAAAGAGGTTTAATAAGTTGCTGAGGAAAACCACTGGCAACTAACCGAAAGAGCAGTCAAAGTGATGCGTCATTGAACGTTTTGCAAGAAGACTTCCAAGTGTTACTTCTCTGGTTCTCATGATGTGTCAGTATTCGTGGAATGCTTCTGAGGTAAATAGCTACGTTCATTTAATTGTTTGCATGACTTATTTGCGAATGATTTCAATGCTTGCATGATGCAGCAGTCGACCACCAGGTGTTGAAGGCAGAAAATATTTTGTCCCTCTGGAAAAGAATCGGCAAACAATCACTACCTGTTACCCCTTGCATGGGCAACTCCCAGTGCAAAGGTGCCGGCCCTGTTGTTGAGCTCACAAGGGAAGATGCACCGCTCTGGAACAAAGATATACCCGCAAATGGGTTGCTTTCACAACCTGCCCATGTCACAATCAACTTCGATGTTCAAGGCCACAAAAATAGCACTGGGTAGGGCACCAGCATCACCAGCATCACCAGCCAACTCAGGCTCAGTTTGCCTGCAAAAATTGACGTGAAGTAAACTGAGTAAATGCGGCCTCTGTGATACTCCGAGATCTCTCTCTCTCTCTCTCTGAGCTCTCAAGCCCCGGACGATACCCTCTCTAGTTCTGACGCAGGTCTCTTCATGCCTTGGAACACTCATACAGTGTTGCAGTGTATGTTCAATCTACGAACTTGAACGGAAAAAAACCACAAAACATCTGCAATCTCCAGCGCACCTGTCTGTAGCAGTGATGTTCTTCCATCGCTGCTTCTGGTAGGTGAAGGGATGTTCGTGCGAAGTTTAACTGCAAGACCATGCTGGAGCATGCTGAACTAGAATCCACGATGCCACGAAGCAAATTGAAACTTTCCACAGTGTTCTGTCAAAGTCTCTGAGCCTGTCAACGTGGCTTGATCTATATAAACAGCTTGAAAAATAAGTGAACAATTGGCCTGTCGCCATGTACATTAGGCTTGGTCTATGATCGCATCTTCAAAGAGGTCGAGGCTTTTGTAGCATCAGCATCAGGCATTTCCACGCATGTCTCGGAAACATACTTCCGCGGCCTTGAATTGGAACTCCAGCCTGCAGCTTCATGATACATGAACCTCCACTCTCGTTGGCCTTGCTTGCATCACATCTGCTTCGAGTTCGCAGGCTGAAACTGGACTCTCGGGCGCGTGCAGGGTTCAAAGAATCTACACACTGAGGTCTGAAGGTGTGTGTGCAGCCAAAGGATGCCAAAGGTCTCAGCTTTGTTTCATGCTTCAAAAGCTCTGCCTTCTCGGTTGGGAAGCTCGCCAAAGCAAAACTTCACGAGGACCTTCGGAATCTTATCCGTTGCAACACTGTGTGTCTCTGCACGACTGGCTGCAGCGTGTAAGAATGCTTTCATGGACAGAAGAAATCCTTCTTTTGTATCTGGTCTAAAAACGGATAACTCTCCACTTGCACCTGAGAAGCTCACCTCACAAGTGCTGCACAGGTTTGAAAGGGCAACGTGGTTTTCTTTTGTTCTTGAAACAGGCTGTGGAAGTGTAAATGCTGACTGCAGCAAGTGACTCCCCACCCAAGGCTGGACAGCCTCTTTATATCCAGCCGCAACTTGATCCTTCACATTCAGTACCTCCAACTGCTTTGCGAGATCTTGTGCTGCATTCTTCGGCAGGTAGCAGTCGATCAGTACAAACCCATCTTGGTGTAACCGTTCATGAACAGTCTTCAGCAATAGCTGTCGAACAGAATGTGCCCTTCCACTGGGGGATCCTCGTGCATCTGCCTCAAAGAAACGCTTGATCTCAAACCAAGTTCTGGCTCTGCTTCGCGGTCTTGAAGCCGAGGAAGACCCAAAGGACGATGAAAATGGCTCTAAATCCAAGGGGAACTCAGCATTTCCATCACGCCTGTCGCTTTTCCGACTCTCTTTTTCAACCGTCTCTCTTTCGTAGTTCTGGCATTCTCTCACCTGTTCGGCCATTTCTAGCTGCTCAAAGTCAAAGGTCATGCCCTGCTTGGATTTGGCATGTGAGAGGCACAGGCACAGGCTACCAAGCAGTATGCCCGGGAGTAAGGTATGTGTTCAGGAGCGTTTGTGTTTTGTGAGCCTTGGTCTAGATAAACTGATAGATAGAGAACACGGCATGTGCAGCAGATTCACAAGAACGCGCTGTTGAGCCCAGGGCTCACATTGTGAAACCTTCTGCGAGCTCGAAGCATCATAAATATCGGATTCAATACTTTTGTGTATATATATATATATGTATGTATGCTACACCTCCCAAGAAAAACCTCCCTGTTAGACAATTTCACTGGTTATTTGCAATGATTTGGTGAGATTTCAGAGGACCAATTGAACAGCACATGTTTGATCATATTGTGGTCTTTGACTGGGTGTAATTAAATCATTCATTGGTTCTACCTGTTTTGTATCACCGGCGCCTATGATGATTTTATTGTCCTTTTGTTTTTCAGTAAGGTTCAAAACCTGACTAGATTTCATCAAAGAAGATTACATCAAAATTGCTATGATGAAACTCTGGTTATGAGCGTAACCTTTTATTTCTTGACTTAACCGGTTTTGAGGCACTACAAACAAAACATGTTTATGCATTCAATATAAATACTGACCTATGTAACTCTTGCCCGATCCAGCAAATTTTGCTCTGATCATGCATGGGTTTTGTTCTTCAATTTGCTTACATATTGCGGGGGTGTCCCTGTCCCATTCATCCACCACCTCTATTGGTGCATTTTCTATTTTTGGAACTGCAACTAAGTCATTATATCTACATATGTATTTATTGGTTGGAAAATTGACTAATTTATTTGTCAGTCTCCAGTGCCCTTTTATAAAATGATTTGGTTTGCCCATCACTCTAGTTAAATCGTCTTCATGGATCGTGAAGGCATCACTCTTCACTGAATAGATCTTAATATATTCTTCTACAAGTTTATGATATGCTTCAAACTATAGAAACAGCCGTTAAGCTGCAACTCCTGTTTTGGGCCGCGAGCTGCGAAAGGTAGGTCTACATGACATCCTACTATGTGCAAGGTACAAAGTGTACATATTACATGGAGTGAAAATACACCCCCCTCAGCTAAGGTAGCTTTGCTCCCGAAGCTGGACGCGGAAAGTGCACGAGGGCTTGTGCAGGGCACGACAGTGATGTCGGCTCAAGGCTGCATGGCAGTTGTGGATGCTAGCAATCCACTGCCTTCGTGGCCCTGTACGTGCATTTTAATTATTCACTCCCCGCCGCCAAAAGAAATTGAAAGTTTGGACTTGGGAGGAAAACCGCATACATATTGACAATGGATGTCATGCAATGAATTATGCTCGCTCAGGCAAAAAGGTTGAGACTTGGCTCAACTAACGCCAATGCCACTGGCTCCGACTCGAGCTCCAGTCCCACGAACGGCGGTCCCACTGCCGCTGCTCGCCCCACTCGCTCCAGTTCCATGAGCTCCATCCCCACGAGGACGATGCTGATCCGGATGCACGTGGGCTCACCGGTGAGGGTGGCGGACCTCCCTTTGCCTTTGAAGCTGGAGTTCCATCACCTCCGGTAGAGGACTTGCGCTTGCCTTTGCTCTGCTGCTGGCGCTGCTCTTGAGTCTGCTTGTTGACCACATCACGCCTGGCAGCGGAGAGGTTGTCGTGGCATAGCTGGCGAAGCTCCTCCATTGCGCAGTATTGGCTCATCTGATGCACGCCGTCCCAAGCCAAAAGGCCACGATGGGAGTCAGGTGAGTTGATGTACTCGATATACTCACGCAAGGAGAGGATGTTTGCGCGATAGATCACGCACCATTGCTCAGGAATGTAATCCATGGCTTGTGGATAGCGATCGGGCGCTACACAGCCGTGCCAGAGAATGATCTTCGTCATATCCAAGGCCCAGGCTGACTTGCGCTTTGTTGCGCGGCGGGTTCGCCAAGTGAGCATGGCAAAGCCAATCCTGCCGCTGCGCTGCCCGATGGTCATAGCCCATTTGCAGCATTCGTTCCATGAACTGGACGTCATGCTCGAAGCGATCCTCGATGCTCTGGAAGCCACACTTGTCTGCACGCTTCATCCGGCTGCGAGCGTCTTGGATCATGATCGCTTCTGGGCTCATGTTTCCACGGCCACTTGCAGACACCACACGCAGATTGAGGCCAGCCTTGATATAGTCGCTGACTGGGCACTCAGTGCGAGCGAGGCCGGCCCTCGCAAGCTGCTGCTTTCGGAGAACTGAAAGTCTGGTGACGGCAGCTCGGTGTTGGTGGCAAGTTCGGCTGAACAAATGTCACAGTGGGTCATGCCCCTGAGGACTAGACCCTTGCACTGGCTGCATTCGACCTGGATCACCGTCAGCTTGCGTCCCTTTCGAAGCGTCGGGGCGGTGATCGGTGCATCACAGCCAGGTGGTGGCCCCGCAGGCTCAGGCGGAGCGTACCCGCTGTAAGATGCTGCAGGTTGATCTTGCTCTGCCTCATTCGCGATGGAAGTAGGTGGAGTCGAAGGTGCAGCCTTGCTTGCAGGTGCCGATTTGCTGGTTGCAGTCAGGGAAACAGGCATTGCTTTTGCGGTTGGCCGGGGCTCGCCAGTGATGGCGGCCCGGCTCTCACCTCCATCCGCTGGAGCAGCCTCAGGTAGGCCAACGGCACTTACCCTGGTCCAGAGTGTGGACTGGCTTTCGGTGTTTTCGACGGAGACAATGTATTCTGGAGGTACCGTGTCAACCGTCATGATCCCACCGGAGCGGTTCTGGAAAAAGATGAGACCGCCATCGACTGCTTCCCGAAGTGCAACGGTAAGCTGAATGGGGTGCTTACCGCGGAGACCGCTTTGATAGTCGGTCTCCGTAATGCGACTTGCAGCCAGGTAAACATGGGCTCGATCGCTGCCAACAAACTCGCCCCCCGCCTGGGATAAGGCCCTCCTTGACGATCCGCTTCCAGCACGCTGGCCTCGTGCGGTGGTAGGCCAAGACAGGGATCTCATCCGCTTTGGCGATGGGCTTCCCAATGAAGGGAGCTTTGGCTTCTGGCCTGAGCGCAGGACTGCAGTACATCAGGGCTGCCGATCTGTAGTTGTCCTGTGCGCTCTTGATCGCGTGCTTGCTTTGGCCAGCAGCGGCACGCATCTTCAGAGGCCATAGTGCCACGCCCTTCTCCTCGAGTTTGTGCCCTTCTCGAATGCCCAAAAACTCAAATCGGTTTTTCTTGTCCTTTGCTGCTATGGCGATCAAGTCTTTGACGGTGAGCGGCGGGGCACTGCGGTGATTCAGGCCGAAACACCTGGCTACTTCGTCCAAGTCTGCGTAGCCATCTTCGTCAACCTCAAGTCCCAGGTATTGGTCATGTTGTCGAACAACTTTGGATAGCTGGGTGAGCCAATCCTTGAGGGGTTTCGCGAAGAAAAGGTGCCCGCCATTGAGCTCCCATCCGCTCGCAAAGTGGAGCGGCAATTGCTTGTCGCCAAGCTGGACCACTTGCTGGAAGGCGCCATCGACCTCGGCCATCTTGTACGTGTACTCGTGGTATTGGTCTGCAAGATACTGAGGGCACACAACGTGGCCTTCAGCAGCAGCCGCCGGCGGCGATGAGGGTGCCTCAGGCTCGGGCTCGCCAGCGATGGCGGCCGAGCCTTCTTCGCCATGAGGCGCGCTTTCATCTTCAGGTTCTTCTGGCACAACCTCCTCATATGGCGATACCTCCTCATCATCGATGGCATCGATGTCGAGCCATGCCGCTGGGTTCTCACCAGTTTCAACACGATGGCTGAGTTCCTCAAGCGTCTGGAGCCGACCCTCATAGGTTTCTCGGCTGATCTCCAGCTCTGCGGCGATCTTCTCCTGCTCTTCCTCCATGACATCAAGGCGTTGCTGGAGGATCTTTTCTGCCGTGGCATCATTTGCGACGAAAATCTCCGAAAGGTCTGGATCATCTTCCTCCCCTTCGGGCTCATCATCGATGACGGCCATGTCTGCCTCGGTAATCGGCGCAGCTCGGTTTGGCTGCTCCGCAGCGACGTCCTTCTTGGTAAGGGCGCGAGCGGTGAGCTCGGCTGCGGCGATTGCCCTTTTGTGGCGGACATCGGCAAGATTTCGGAGTAGCTCTTCGTATCGCTGATGTGGAGGGAGGCGATCATCACGAAGCTCAAGCCCACCGAGCGGACGGTTCATCGGGCTGGTGGCAGCTACTTCCAATGCGATATCTCCGAGAACGTAGAGTCTCATAAGCAGGTGAAATACACTCTGACAAAAGGAGAACATATGATTTGCATTCTCGTCCGATTTTTCGCAATGCCATTGGTCACGCAAGTCCATGCGGATGTTGAGGACGTTGATGTTGACTAGGCGGAAGCGACACTTGCCGATCTGAGAACCATACACCTCATCTTGGAACCACTGACTCAGCCGGTTGTACCAGTCGCTGTAGGGTCCCTGCCGCGTGAAATCTTCTGATCTATTTCCACGTGGAGGAGAGATGTAACACATACCTGCAAGATGGCTTCTATACTGTTGCAGATCTTCTCGCCTACGTTGTCCGAGGAACTTCCATGACTGCCAGTGATGTGTCCTTGGTCAATGTAGATCACCACGGCTGTCTGGAAGTCCAACCGAGTGATGTTTTATCTGAATTCATCCCGGCTTGGCAGCGAGACGTGGAGCGAGGCGACCTCCATGTCGAGTACCTTGGAAATTTGCCTGTCTTCCACTTCACGCCGCGACGACGGGCACCTAGACGGGGAAGCTGAAGGGACGTCGACACAGACGGACGTCGTTCTACGAAAGTTTGTGTCAGCGACCCACGCTCTGCGTGTCCGTGACTTTGCAGCCGGCAGAAAACGACGAGTCTCCGTGCGCCTGACGACACAACCGGTACTTTTGGAGAGACTCTGTTTCAAGGCGGATACACACTTGTTGCCTTTAGCTCCTCATGTTTTTCTCTGCATGTCGTTTTATATGTTTAGATAGCTGCTTCTACTCAAGTTTCTTTTTTGCAATGGTGATG